CACTTCAAATGTAAATGTAACAGTAAAATATTTACACAAAAACATTTTGAAAAGAGAGGAAAGGAGCGCTCTAATTAGAAGTGACAGACACAAACCTCCAACAAAGATGAAGGTACACTGTAAACACTTGAGCTGCATTTATGTCGACTATCTTGCACTTTTTAAGTCAAATACATTTAGTGAGTTTTAGTACATATGACAGCAGTAAGTTGTGTTAACTTTTTATTAATTTAGTTAAAACTCTAATAGTTGAATAAACGAGAGCTTTTAGGTTAGCACTTTAAAAAACTCGAAGACAGGAACTATTTCCCAGAATGCTTAGCGGCGTTTTTGTGTCTTGAGAAGGAAGTGCGTTACATTCATAGACATCATATACGTATTTGTGTTACATTGATCTGACTCTTGCATGTCATTACATTAAATGTTTATTTTAATGCAGCTGACAGTTTGCAAAGTTTGAGTATAACGTTTTGCTCAAAAGAAATCTTTTTTCTTTTTTTATCAGAATTCATTGTAAAAGTTAATAAAATTATTAGATCAGAAATTTTGTTAATGTAATTTGAAACAAGGATTTAAAGTGTTCTAAATTAAATTGATATGTTATTTTAACTAATTTGTGCTCTTTAATGAGGTGACGGCAATTTTTTTCTTGCATATTGTGAAACAATTATTTGGTTTAAATTGCATCATTAAGTTAAAACTCACAATTCAAGATTAATTTACTTAAAAAATTATGTTTTGCTAACTCGTTTCTAGTTGTTAAATCAATCTTATGAACTTTAATTTCTGAGTTAAACATTTTTCTAAAATGACTGAGCTGTCCTGCCATGATGCCATGTTAACAACCAGCCTGGGAAGATATTCAGGAATATCTGACATATTTCTTCATAAAGTGTTTGGACTGATACAGAAATGTTGTTCTTTGCTCGGCCCAGAGTACAATAAGGAAACAATCCGAACATCTTATGAAAACACAAGCCCTACAGTAAAACTTTGACAGAAAAAATGTTTTATTTTTAATTCATATTCAGGTCTTATACTTTTAATAATACATAAAACCTGGGTTTCATCATTCAAAACCAAACAGGGTAACAATTGGTGTAGAAACGGGGACTATAATGATCTTCCCTTTAACATTTTAAGTTGTTCTTCAACAGTTTGTGCAAACAAATCCTTAAGGCATAATAACCAACTGAGACAGAACAGGACTGAATCTAAATCAAATCAAATCAAATTTTATAGCACATTTCAGCAGCAATGCATTTCAAAGTGCTTTACATCATTAAACGCAAAAACACAGAGTCATGCAACATTGAATAAACAATGAAAAACATTAAATTTCCCGCCGAGTCGAAGTTCTGCCCTTTTACCGGAAAGCATAAAAGAACAAAATGCATATTAGCTCTGAATGAGTCAGTTTGTTCAAACTGTTGCTGCTTCAGCCTTTATGGATCATCAGGTTTCAGCTCTTTCCTTTGCAAAACCATCAAGTCCACCTGCAATGAAAAAGAGTTTTGATGTTTACTGGAATTACACGTTGCTCAGCTTAAAGTTAAACTGTTTTTGAAATGTCAGCTGAGAAACATGGAGGCTGTCGCTAATAAAACATTTAGATGTAACAGAAATACAGACTGTCTAAAAACTTGACTACGACCATTTAGTTAGTTAATGTAATCGTTTCTGAAATAATAGCCATTAATGCTCAGGCTGCAGTCAGACGAGCCTCTCAGCTAAAACTCATCCCTTATTGTTCAAATGTGAGAAAAAAAGTCTGAGTTCAGTCTTGATGCTGCAACACTTTGATGAATGAAAACATCATGTTTTTGTCTGATTGTTGTCTCCTCATCTTCATGAAGAATACATGCTGCTGTGAAGCTGCAGGATTACAGAAAAACACTGGATCTTTGCTCTGGTCATATTGCTAACAGCAACCTGGAATGACTTGAGCCATGCACTTACTGCAGAGTTTGAAGTTCATAATCTGGACTCTCCATGAGCTCTAGGAGCGGCTGAACGTTGGGATCTTCCAAGTTGTTGTAGCTCAGGTCAAGTTCTGTCAAATGGGACGGGTTGGACTTCAGAGCCGAGACCAGAGAATCACAGCTGATCTCAGTCAAACTGCACTCTATCAGTCTGCAGAAAGGATAAAACATCTGAGCTGACAGCAGCAACAATGATGCCATTAAATACACATGTGGACAAAATTTTTGGTATCCTTCTGTTAATAACCAAAAAGCCCAAAACTGACACTGAAATAACTTAAAAGTAACATGAAATGAGAATTTACTAAAAATTATCCAACAAAAACCAGATGTCGCTTTTTTAAATAGTAGAACAAAACTGCTTAAAAAAACAAAAACTGATGAAACAGAGACAGACAAAAGTGATGGAACCTTTAGATGGTTGAAAATGATCTGACCAAAGGGATAAGTTAAAGATGTGTCCTCTAATTAGGCATCACAGGCGACAACACAGTCACATGCTGGTGATGGAAAACAACAGCTGCCCTGGGCAGACGGATGGATGCAAAGCTGCCATTATAGACCCTCTGATCAGGGGTTCAAACTGGCAGCCCCCCTGTCACAGGGTGAAGCCCAAACTCCTGAGCCAAAGACAGTAGCCAATGATGGTGCCTTACCTTAGAGTCTGTATTCTGCAGAGAGGCCTCTGTAGGAAGTCACAGAGCTCCTTCACACCAGCATCTTTCAGGTCTTTGTTCCAGCTCAGGTCCAACTCTGTCAGATGAGAAGAGTTTGACTTCAAAGCTGAGACCAAAGAAGAACAGCTGCTCTCCGACAAGCTGCAGTCCATCAGTCTGAATAAAGAATAAAACAGATGATTAAACCAACAGAATGAGACAAAAACAGTCAAATAAACAAAGCTTTTCATCAACTTTCATCAATTCTTAAAGTTCCATCAGTAGAGGTCCAATATCATGTTGTGCAACAAAAATTATTCAGTTTTTTATTTCAAGATTTTTTGGCCCATTAGTATGTGCTTTTTCATATTAATGTAGCTTAATCTCAACACAACTTTTACATCATATCATTCTCATCACAAAACCAAAAAAGGAAATGTTTGACCTCAGAGTTTGCAGTTTGCTCAGCGGATTCTCCAGAAAACCACAGATCTCTTTAACCCCAGCATCTCCCAGGTCTTTGTTCCTGCTAAGATCCAGTTCTGTCAGATGGGAGGGATTGGACTTCAGAGCTGAGATCAGATGAGCACAGCTGATCTCTGACAACCTGCAATAAAACAATCTGAATAAAAAGAAAACATGTAAGTTAAAGTCAACAGGAGGCAGTTGTAAATGTGCAGCCAAATTTGGCAGAATGTAAGAATCACAAACACTGAGGGGCATATTTAAAAATTCAAATAAAGCAGATTAAATATTATGACATCTTAGGTTTTTATCTCAAAACATACATAAATAATAAGTGACATCAAGGCATTAGTGTTATTAAGTCTGAAGTCCCCGTTGTTTGAAAAGGGGTGCAGGTTTTTTTTCTGCTGATTTGAAGAGCAGAACTTCGACTCGGCGGGAAATTTAATGTTTTTGATTGTTTATTCAATGTTACATGACTCTGTTTTTATTTTTAATGATGTAAAGCACTTTGAAATACCTTGCTGCTGAAATGTGGTATACAAATGAAATTTGATTGATTGATTGATTGATTGATTGATTGATTGATTGATTGATTGATTGAATCCATTTTCATGGTTGCTATGAGTAGAACTTAAGTGGTACCAAGATATTTATTGAAATTAACAGAGGCTTCAATTGCATTTCTGTAAATTCGAGTACCACTTAAACAGGCCAGAAA